GCCCTTGACCCTCCCTCTTGCAATCAGAAAGCCCTCCTTTTCCCTGGGGTTTTTCAAGAGCCGTCCCAGACCTGGACTGATGTGCAGTCACCCCCGCCTTCTAATCGGAAGAGTCCACTCAATGGCTCCCTTTTCCTGTGGCCTGTCTGCATGCTGTTGTCTCCTGGCACCAATTCTCTGCCTTGCCTCTCCCCCACAGGTAACCCAGCCCCCCCTCGCCAAGTCCCGCCTCTTTTGGCGTCACTCCAAGGCTTGTTCGGTGACATCTGGGCACGTATTGAAAATGTCATGGGAGGATAACACTTCCTGTAATTTTTAATGATGATTATGAGACGGGTTTATTCTCACCCCTGTCTTGGGAGTTAAACATCTAAATGAGGAATCCTCTTCAAAGTACTTGTGTGTGCTTGGTGAAGACGCATCCAAAAATCGTTACAAGTCTTCACCTGGAGATCACATATAATCACCCTGATTTGGTGCTTCCGGGCCCCGCCCCACCTCCAGCAACTCCTCAGGTGTGAGGCTGCCTGGAGGTCCCTCCACAGAGAGTTAACCTTTTGTGCCCTGTGGTCTGTGTGCCACAGAGGAGGTATGTGTGTGTGTGTGCCCCACACAGAGCCTGAGTCCCGTGCTGAATGCAGTGCCTCGCCTGGTGGATGGAGGTGCCAGGCTCAGAGCAGTGCCTCCTTGGGAGACCCAGACATCTGTTTCTGCTGGTCACTATGGTCTGGTCCCATTGTGCTTGGGCCCTGAGGGTCGGGGTCGGCTCAGGAAGAGCAATCAAACACCCCGTGTGCCCGATCACTGCCCACTGCCCGATCCTGCGCCACCCTCACGATCGCTGCCGTGTCCAGGCCCATAGTGATCGCCACGCTGTCCACCCACCCTGCCCACGGTCCTCCTCTTTGTCCTGTGATTTCGGAAAGCTCTGAAAAGAAATCAGTGAAAGCGGAAGAGTCGTCCTCCTCGGAGCCTGTGGGATCAAAAACTATCTCGTGTGGCTCTCCACCATCCCCGTTGTCACCTACAACCCCCTCAAATGCCCGCCTCCCCCCAGCTCCAGTCCCTGAGAGGCTGTCCGCGTTATGCCCTCAGGCAACCATTGCCACCCCGGTGGCCTCCCTACCAGAAACACCTGTGCCCGCCGGCCAGGCTCCCCTCCCAGAGTCAGCGGGCCCAGGGGGCGATGCCCAGCGTGGTGCCAGGTGTGTTCTCACTTCCTTAAGGAGGCCCCAAGCTACAACTCTGATGCGAGCTGACATGGCAAGATGTACTTGCCCAGAGAAGGAGGGGGGCTCCCCGGAGATGGTTGCATCCTTTGCTTACAAAGAGAGGGCACACGCCCCGGGCTGCCCAGCTCCTGATCAGTTCCTGTTCCTCCTCTCCCACATTCTCCTGCAGGGGAGGGGCTTCCTGGTGCCATCCTTGGGTTCCCAGGACCCGCTCGCTCTCTGGCTCTGCTGGCTCCCTTGACTTTTGTTCCCAGCATCAGGTTCGCTCACACCCTTTGGCATTGCCTGGCGG